TATTAAAGAGCGGGGGATTTGAAGCAGATGGAATATATCTTTAGATTAATGAAATCTGAAAGGATAAAGCCAAATCGTGTTACTCTTTGCTCACTCATCAGAGCATATGGCAGAGCAGAAGCTGTTGATAAAATAAAGGCTGTCTTGAGGTATATAGAGAACTCAGACGTGATGTTAGACACTGTATTCTTCAATTGCTTGGTTGACGCATATGGGAGGGCTGGTTGCCTATCAGAGATGAGGGAGGTGTTGGAGCTGATGCAGAAGAGAGCATGCAGACCTGATAAGATCACATATAGCACCATGATAAAGGCTTACCTTAGCAGAGGGATCAACGACCAAAGAGTTCATAACCTTCAAGATATCAGCCAAGAAGAGGCCTTGTCACTGTCTCAAAGGTCTTGCAGCCTATGATGGAGCTTGAGCGAGATGAAGCTATTAGTAAAAGCAGACTAACTTAGCATAAGGAGAAGGGAGTTGAGAAAATGCATCCACCTCGCTGGTTAATGCTTGCATCTCAACAGGCTCTCTTTTCAGAAGACTTTTACTTTGATATATTTATGGCACGTAATCCTAGAAATTGTGGGACAACACAGAGCTATATGAAGCATAGTACTGAAAAGCTATACATGCTCGGAGTAGCATGATTCAACCAGTTGCAAATGAAACAGACCGCGTCATTTATTTGAGCTAATTTGAGCTCACAGGCAAGTGAGATTGCTCAGTTGCCTTCAAATAAGTTTGTATTTGCATGAATTCTCATGTATATATATTTCAAAATAACTAGCACTGCTCCCAATTTTTCTCTAAATAATCCTTTCAAAGTCTAAAGAAGTGGATATAGAAATACAATTACTGTCCTAACATGAAAATTGAGACATTTGCAATAGAAAAAAAATCAAATTCTCATTAATATATTCTCAAAAGAAGAAGTACCGTCCCTAAACCCTTCATATAATCTTTTAAAGTTTGAAGAAGACGAAAGAAAAATACCATCATTGATCTAACATAAGAATTAAGATATTTGTTAGTAGAAAACTAAATTTTCATGTATATATTTTCAACTAACTAGTATTTCTCCTAAATTTTCTCCCAACAATTATTTCGAAGTTTGAAGAAGAGAAAATAGAAATTTAATCATTGTCTTAGCATGAAAATTGAGATATTTGCAATAGTAAAAAATTGAATTTTCATAGATGTATTTTCAAAAGAACAAGTATTACTCAATCCTTTCTAAGTTTAAAGAATGGAAAAGAGAAATGCAATCATTGATCTAACATGTATATTGAGACATTTCTAACTTAAAAAAAAAATTAAATTATCATTGATGTATTTACAAAATAACCTACACTGCTTTTAAATTCTCTTCCTAAAATACTTTTCAAGTTTGAAGAGGAGGGAAATGAAATACAATCATTGATATAACATGAAAACTAAGAAATTTGGAATAACAAAAAACCAAATTCTTATGAATATACTCTCAAAATGAGAAGCACTGCTCCAAAATTATCTCCAGACAATTTTTTTCAAATTTTGAAGGAGAGGAAAAGAGAAATGCAATCACTGATCTAACATAAAAATTGAGATATACATAATAGCAAAGAACCAAATTCTCATTGGACATATTTTATATGGAACAAGCACCACTTCTAAATTTTTTTCATACAATCATTTTCCAAGTTTTAAGAAGAGGAAAGAGAAATGTAATTATAGATCTAACATAAGAATTGAGGTATCTGCAACATTAAAAAACGAAATTCTCATGGATGTCATTTCAAAATAACTAGCTATGCTTCTAAATTACCTCTATACAGTCCTTTTTAAATAACTAACGATGCTTGTAAATATCAGAAAACTACCAAATAAAAAAATCACAAAAACATCGAATCATCTTAAATAACCAAATAGCAAAACAAGAAACAAATAGCTAAAAATATAACAAAGCAACAAAATACCATTATTTAATCACAACAAAATGTGAGAGGGGGAGACATTATACATATAGATAAAAGAGGCGACGACAACTGAACAAAAGGATTGAAATTTTGCCCTAAAACCACAACAGCAAAGAAAGAGGTGGGAGGGGGAATTAAAGGCAAAGCGAGGATAATATCGGGGATATGTGGAAGTATAACACCATTTCCATTGGAGCAGCAAAGGGATTTTGCAATTGAAATGGAGCATCCATAGAGAAATGCATCGGCTCCTCTGCGTACCACCTTTCTACGTTCCGCGAACGACCAACGCCGAAAAGTAGGGCAAAAGCCGAATGTCGAAAGCTTCAAAACACATTTTGAAAATGAAAAGCCACGAAAACAGTGCCCCAAACGAGCTATAAGAATTGCTTACACTCAAATTTATAGTCAAAGGAGACAAACTAAATGATATTAAAGTTGATTCAATCCAAGTGCAAGTGAGTCAGGTCATGCACTTAACAAGGCATCATCATATTTTGGAAGACCAAATGATCACTTAGTTTTAACAGCATTAAGAAACTCAGATATTCATAAAATATCATTCGATTAAGGGAATCACACTAAGTTATCTAATTGAGTAGATTGGATTCCAATAGTTTTTATGAAAAATGCAACTCCCAAAATCTTTAGACAGGCTCCCATCATCTTCACAATAGAGAGCGAAATCTAGATGAGAAGGTTAAATTAAGGTCTGTGCTTTTAATAATTTTCAATCTTCACCGCCGAACCACATTTGTCTGGCTACCACCATCATTAGATTATTATGGTTGTTAGCAGATCATCATCACTCAATTGTCATTGTCATCGGATCACCATCGTCGGGCTGTCGCTATCATCAAACCACCACAACTCGGTCGTTTTCGTTGCCTTCAGCTAGCCACCTTTATCGAATCACCATCGCCAAACCTCTATTGCATGGATGTCATTGCTATTACATTAGATTTCCTTGACCTGACACATATCACCATCGCGGTCCCCCAACCACAATTTCCTAGCCACCAGCCCTTCCAATGATGTTGACATCAAAACTCCATTAGATGGCCCTCACCGTTGGTTTTCTATCATTGCAACCAGTTTGCTACCACTTCCCGTAAAAGCTCTCGCCATTACTTTAGTAAAACTCCAGTCAAGAACTTCTAAATTTTTAATATTTCTTTTTAGCATTTAAGGGTAGTCAACTTCTTATAACTTTTGTTTTTATAGTGAAATCATTTTAACTTGGTCTAGCCTCGTTGTTTTCTCTATTTAGAATTTTCACTTAAAAATCGTTGGTAACTTCTCCGTTAACTCTTTTTTATTTGTTGGTACTCGATTTTCGTACAATACTAATATGTTAATATATCACTTTAATATCGCAAAATCTCTCCGCACACAAATATGACGATAAAAAAACTCGTTGTGCGCTAACAACTCGTGTTCGTCTCATTAAGTAGCTCGTGTTTGATTCGTTCATTAAACAAGATTTATAAACGAGCTGAACACAAACAAATGTTTGTTCGTTCGTGTTCGACTAGTCTTGCCTGAAAATAAATAAATAGTCATATTTATATATATCATTTTATAATAAATTTTTATATGCGTTCAAAATACTACTAAATTTTGTTATTTTTAAAATATAAGTTTAGATGTTAGATATGTGAATAACCAAGATTTGGGTGGTATGCTTCTAAAAGTTTCTAAACTATAGTCTCTTCTTCTTCTTATGTAACATTCATATTTCTAATTATATAAGGATTGGGTATGTCATGAGATTTTTCCACATAAATCCTCAGCGCGCTCCCCTTTTAGCAGTGATGAACATTTAAATACATAAGAATTGAATAATATGTACATAAATGCCCCCAACACCCCATCTCTTTTACCGCATCGCTTATTTCAGAAGCAATCCCAATAAAAAATCATATATAAAAATAAGAATAACCAGAAAATTTTCAACCTCTTCTTATTTGAAGCCAAATTCTAAAAAAAAAAAATTTAAGATTGTGTAGGTTAGAATTGAGTCGGAAATGAGTTTATTTCGAACACATAAATTTCAAACAAGCTGAATACGAACAAGTTAATTAACGAATTATTTTGAACATATAAAATTTCGAACGAGGCCCAAAATGAACGAGCTTTGAGCTCGTTTGTGTTCGGCTCGATTACAACCCTCCACAATAAATATAATTATATAAAATTATTAAACTAAAAAGTAAGGATAAATTTGTATTCAATTTTTTGTTCTTTTAATTTTTAAAAATATATTAGGAATGAAACACATCCAATGAAACACATCCAATTTTTTTTTTTTTGAAAAATTCTTACATATTGAAAATTTATAAGTTTATATTTTTTATTTTCATGATGCTTTCACTTTAGGGAGAAATATTTGTGTACTTAAGAGGTACGCAACGCTGCGTATGTCAGGTAGGTTACAGGGAGGGTATTGGGGGTTATATCCGCGTAATACCCCTGTAACATAACTGTAACCTACCTTTAACTAGTAAGTTTCGCGATTCTGTTTTCATATATTTGTAAGTTACAGATAGGTTACAAGTAGGTTACGGAGGGTATAACGCAGATATAACCCTCAATACTCTCCCTGCATAACGTACACAAATATTTCTCAACTTTAGGCAGCTCGGTTGCTCAGAGAAGCCAACATCTTTGACGACTTTCCGGCTTAGTCCAACCGGGGTCGGACCGGTGGCATCATGGGAATTTCCTAAAATTTCGAATCCCTAATTGAATTTGGTCGATTAGAATTTGGAAGCTGGGGAGGAGACACTAATAAAGCAACTAGTGACCATAAATTCTGCATCCCTCCTTTTTTCTCGCTTCTTCCATTCTCTTCCTCCAATCGTCTAACCTCGAGGTTGTCGTTATCTCGCCTCGAGCAATCTCGGCTTTGGTTTATGAGGTAAGAAGAGCCGATTACGCAAGCAAAATGGTTTCATATGTGCCATCCGGCGCTAGATTTTTGTTCTGATCTGCTGATATTTAGAACGATTTTTTAGCGCAGTAACTGCGGCGACTTCTAGGGCTGCTTGAGAGATCTATTTATTTAAGTGGGATTGTTCGAATTTTGATGTAAATTTTGGTTTTTTGCCGCCGTCCTCTTTTTAGTGAGCGTTCTGGATATCGGGACTTTGTTTTCCCCTTGTTTTCGTGACATGATATGGTTCGTTTTACTTTTTTATTCGATTAAATTATGGAAAATCAAATACATGTTTTGTTTCTGTTTTGTATTACACGAGTCGCGTCCTTCATTATATAGTTGACTATAGAAATTTTTTGTGATAAATTGTCTTGGATATACCTCTCTTAAGAGCTTGGTTATGCTGACTTCGTTTCTTTTTCTGCCATATTGCAGCTCAAAGGAGAAACCGACTCTCGGGTAAGTTTGAAATGTTTTATGTGCTATTCTGTTTTATTCATACTGATAACGGGGCAAAAGGATTTTTGTGATTTTTTATTGCAGCAAAAATCTTTTGTTTATCTTGGAATTCCACCAAGTTTTGTTTATGTTTTTGATATAACTGGATGCTGTATATGCCTCTTTATTTTATTGCTGTTTTGTGTTTTTGAAGCTTGTTTGTGTTTCGATATGTTTCTTTTCCAAGCAAATATTTTCTGTTGGCTGGAATTTGTTTTCATCACAGCTGTGATGCGCCAGAGTGGGAGTATTTATTAAAATTTTTTGTTTATAACCACTGTTATGTATTATGGAACTTTGAAGCCAAGATATGCTTCCATACATTGATATTTGATTATTTTTCTTGTTCATCATTTTTGCAAATGTTCCTTCATGATAATTATCTGTAGCTTCAGTTCTTGATGTAGGTTAATAATATCATTGGAGGCAATATTTGTTATTCTTGACTTCATTCAGAAAGCAAGCAAGCAAACTTTGATTTGTTTTTATTTGGTTGAACTTGATGATTTTTATGTATATAACTAAATAAAAAGATTTACATATCAGTGAAGTTCATATGATGTTTTGCATTCTTGGTTAAATTTTGTTCAAAGGATAGGCTTAACATTTTATTTAGTCAAAGTATCCCTTTCAATAATTTCTATTCAACTTGAAACGCCCTAAGTTAATTTTTGTCTTTGATTCTTTGTGAAATTTTTATGCATATTCATTGCTTTCATAAGTTGTTTGATAAAGTTTACATTGCTATAAGAAAAACATTATGAGCATAAGTTCTCATGATATTCAATCAGACACCTTCTCAATTTTAATAAAGATCATTAGAAGATAGTTTTTTTGTTGCTTTTAATCATCCATTAATTTCCTTAGCAAGCTTCATAGTGAATCCCATTGGTATAAGATTAAATTGATGTTCTTATATGGATGAGATTTTTCTAAGACAGTTTTATTATCCATCCATAACTTCATTAATTGATTCATTTGTTTGTTTCCCTTGTATTCACCACAATCCTGAATATCTCCATTTTGCTTAAACATATGGATACCATTTTTATTTCTTTCCACTCATATGTCATCTTCTTTTTCTTTATGATTTTATTTAATAAATTTTAATCAAGATAATTCAATTTTGTCTACAAATCCTTAAATCTTATTCGTATTATCAGGATAAATACATTTTTTTAAGCTTGTAATTAATTCAAATCAGAGTTTTCAGTTCTAGTTGACAAATGAAAAAAAGGGAAATTTGTTCAGTATGAATTTCATGTATCATGGAAAGACAATTGAGCAAGGTTGCACATAATATTTAATTCTTTTACTCTAAATTGCTAAAATGTCTTATCTAATTGATGATTTGTAGAAATATATCTTACTAGGTAAAGCCTTACCAAACATTATCCTTCCTCCACATCCAAGTAACATTTTACAATCATTTCACACTTATACTGCCTCTAGCCTCGCGATGAGTTCCTTCAATGCAAGTATGGTAGTTTAGTGACTTCTATCTGCAAATCGTATTGACAAGTGGCTTTCTTCTTTCTCAAAATAAGCGAAAATAGCGCCAACAAAACCATAATTAAGATTAGGATGAAGTCCCTTATGAATTTTTTTTTTGTTTATCATTCTATGAACGTTACATGTAAAAGCTAAGTATTTGTGATGTTAATGGGAGTACTTTGTAGTGAACTAAAAATTTAAACTTCAAATTAAAATTCGTGAAATTTTTGAAGTTGAATTTTTAATTATTACATAAGAATTATTTAAAATCAATATGAATTAATTGTTGGATAAAATTTTATTCAAATAATCAGTGTTTGCTTTTAGTTGTCAGCAATTATTCAGCGGAGTGCTTTTTCTGGATGGGGACACATGAAAACCTCATCTCTCTCCTTCTCTTTTATTTTTACAATTTTTCTTATAAAATTTATAAATATTATTGGAGAATGAAGAGAAGGTTGTTGACTATTTGAAAAGTATTGGGAGGCATTCCAAGGGGAGATTGTGGCTTGGTGGCTAGTTAATCGAAAGATTAATTTGTTGACTCTTTACTGCTAATACTTTTAGTGAGTAGGAGAAATCATCATGTATTGGTCTTTCTATTGAATCTTGACGTGCTGTTCTTTTCTCACCGTGTTGGCATGCTTTTTTTCGTAATTAAAAATCTCCACAAATATGATATTGTAAACACTTGTGCACTTGGCCAAGACTGGTTTTTTGTAAAACTTAGGGTCTGTCTGAGACAGCTTATTTGGTGAGGTGACGTTTTGAAAATGCACCTGACCTGTTTGGGTAAACTGTGTTTTGGCAGCTGGCAGCTTATGCGTTTTCAAAATGCTGAAAATAGCATTTTCACACCGCACCTATCTAGTTGCTGTGGCTGGTGGCAGCTGTTTGCCTTTTCCAAAAAAAATAGAAATTTGTAAGAGCCACCGCACCTCGCTTATCCGTAGATTATTTTTAATCAGTTTATTAGTAGATTATTCAATATGCTGCAACTGTCCCAAACAGACCCTTTGTCTTATTCTATAACCTCTCTAGTTTATTAACACACTTGTTAAAAATTGTGAAAATTTTTAGATTCATTATAGGATAACTAAACTTTAATTTTCATGTGTCTTTAGCTCAGTTTCAAAACCTCAAGTGCTCTTACGAAAGTTAAAATCTCACTTGTGCTGTTGGTCAAAGAGGTGTTCTCTTAACCTAATTTTTTGTTGAAATGTAAAAAAAAAATAAAATATATACAAAAAAAGTATGAACCACTTTAGAATAGCCCTAAACACTTTGAATTAACATTTGCTAGAGTTTGAAGCCTAAATGACTTATATATTGATGCTAAAACCTTGAAGTAAAGTTCATTGTGCTCATAATTTTAAGTCATGCTTTTTATGATTTTGGTCCAATTCAAAGTCCGTGCAACTAAGACACAGGAAAGGAGACGCAACCGGGAAATTCTGAGAGCCGAATAGCCTCGACAAATCTACCAACATCTGCAATAGTACAACCAACAATATCTGCTGCAGTACGATTCACAGCATAACCGACAATATAACCAACAGCACGATCAACAGTCATTTCAGCAGAGGCCATGTCGGATGGATGAAAAACATAGTCCATCTGCGGCCTAACTGTTGAATAAAGTATATTCTTTCAGAAAAGAGCTACAACAAAGATGTTTTAGGATTTGATTAAAAATCCCAAATTCAGCTTACGAGAGCCAAAAAGGTCGGAGGAAATCGACAAGAAAGACCATCCTAATTAATGCCCCTACCACAGACTGCTCGGACACACTATAGAGAACTGTATTAGCTTCAAAGAATGACTCGAGAAGAACTTTAAAAATGGGAACATAACGATTTCAAAGGAGTATTTGATAGAATTTGAAAAATGCTCCATCAATATGATTTCGGTTGATCCAATTGTTTCAACTTACTTCTACACAACTACATCAGTGCTCAACAAAAGAGGTGAGACTCATTAAAAACCTCTGATTGACGTTAAAGTTGTCAAATGAAGGTCGATTGAGGCTACGTTGGAAATGCTTCTAGCTGACATTGCACAGCTGTCTGAAGAACGAAGAAAAGATATGGGTGATGAACTCTACGAGCTGTTAGATTATGTGATAGAGGAATTCACAAAAATCAATGTTGTTGAGGCCAGAGTCACGTTATCCTCGCGCAATGCTTCTTTACCCACTGAGGAGAACGCTCAGATGAGTTGCAAAAGGCCATTCAACAACGTGATGAACATATCAACCAGATGAAGAAATAACTAGAAGAAATGATGATCGCGATGGCCGCATTTCAAGGACAGTCACAGTCACCACAAATGATAGCTTCAGAAGCAAGTCAACTAGAAATTGTTCAGGTTATAGATGAAAGGAAAGAGTTCGCTTTCGCCAACAAAGATGAGCAACATAAAAAAGATTCAGTCCAGAGCATGATACTAGAAAAAAATACATTAAACAAATGGTGGAACAACAGGTGAGAGAAGTTCTGACTCAATCAAAAGAAAGATTGATTCTAAAGGGCAGGTCATTCCCGGAAGAATTTGATGCTGTCCAATACCCCCAAGGGTTTCGTACCACCGTCGTTCAAGACATTTGATGAAACTAAAAACTTCTGACAGCATGTTGCACACTTCCGAGCAAGTTGCTGCAATGCGGGGGGTAGTGACGCGTTGTTGTGTCGTCAATTTGTGGGTAGTCTTTCTGGAATCGCTTTTGATTGGTACGCCGAACTGCCCAATGACTCATTGAAATCATTTGTAAAATTGGAAGACCTCACCTCTTTGTTAAACGGTTTATTGGAGTTAATCACCATATCATCATCGGTGATCTCGTGGTGAAACGACAGAAGCCAACCGAAACATTAATGTACTACATTCTGCGATGAAGAAATTTGAGCATGATGTGTGAGCCGCAACTCCAAGAGCAGCATGCAGTCCAAATCCTTCTAAAGAGCATTTATGATCCAGTGAGTTTCTTACTCATGGGATTTACCATCAGGACATTCGAGAAGCTGCTTAGCAAAGTCGAGAATCTCCAAGAAGAGGCTAAGCAACTTGGTTTTCTAAAGAAAGCCGAGGGGCTGGAGCCAATGAAAACATTTGAGAATAAATTCGGGATAGTTGCAGTGGTCCATAGGAGCAAGCGACCGTTGTAAATGCAAGCAGAACAACCTCGACAGACCTACCAACGTCCTCGATGGAATGCTCAGCAATCATTCCAACAGAGACCCTACTAGACAGATGAAAGACAAGGTCCAACCATGACCGATCAATTAAACAAGATATACTCTTTTAAAGATGAAGCAGTCAAAAAGATGTTCGGCAATCTAATCAAGAAGCCCAAATTCAGGTTACCCAAACCAAGGAGACTGGACGAAGTCAATAAGAAAGGACACCCGAGATATTGCCCGAATCATAAGTTCATTGGACATACCATAGATGAATGCTTCAGTTTCAAAGACTGACTTAAGGAGAACTTTAAGAATGGGAGCATAACGATCCCGAAAGAATATCCGAGGGAGCCTGAAAGAGGTTTTATCAATATGATTTCGGTCGATCCCAGTGTTTCACTTGACTTCTACGCAGCTGACAAAGGATGAAATGTTTCTTGATTACTATTGTGCTACTTTTGTTGTCGAAATGAATGTTAGTGGTATCAATATTGGTCTGTCCCTTTTCTCCCATCGTAAGAAAATAAAGAAAAAATTTGTTGTTTTTCATAAGTGAAATGTTTGGAAACCACAGATAACAAAACGTTCAAAGCTCAACAAAAGTTCAAAAAAGGGTGATCCAAGATATAAATTTCAATACTTTGATAATAAATTATGATTTCGGGGAAAATGAAATTAATGCCCTAATAACTGGGTCCTTCACTTTAAAGAATTCAGACCGAGTCCTAAGTAAATTTTAAAATGAAATAGTGTGCTTGAAATGCAAGTAATTGACTAAGGATGTCACGAGACTTTTAATCTTCTGCCAAGTGACTGAGTCCTGACTTTTGAATGAGTTATAATATCTCAGGATTTGTTTTAAGAAGTATTTGAGAATTTTTAATCAGGGGAGTTGATATTCAAAATCTTTAAAGTTTGCTCTACTAGATATAGTAATTCTCAGAAAATAAAAGAAGCAAAAAAATGTGAAAGTCTCCTGAGAAGAAGCTTGAGGTGGGCATAAAATAAAAAAAATTGGTGTTTCAATTCAGACATTCAAAATCTTTAAAGTATGTTTTGCTAGGTATAGTAATTCTTCGTGAAAAAAAAGAAAAGAAAAAAAGAGGCTCCGTGAGAAGAAGCTTCAGATGAGCATAAAATAAAAAATTGGTCTGTCCCTTCAAGTGTGCTTATTATAATAAATTTTTTAATGCCTCTCATGGTAGAAAAAAATTTGCGTACGTAAGACGTACGCAGCGCTGCGTATGTCAGAGAGGTTATTCAGATAGTTTATATCCCCTGTAACCTCCATGTAACCTATCTGTAACCTACCCGTACCTTCTAGTAAGTTCCGCGCTTCTGTTTTCATATATATGTAGGTTACAGGTAGGTTATAGAGAGGTTTAGGGAGTATAATGCAGATATAACCCCCCATTACCCTCTGAATAACCTCCCTGACGTACGCAGTGCTGCGTACGTCTTACGTACGCAAATTTTTCTCCTCTTGGTAAGGGTTCCTAGTACAAGTGCTTTCTTTCCAATGTTCCATCTTCAGTTATGTGTTTGCAGACCTATTCAACACAGAGTCGGGCTAGTGAATTCATTTTAGTTGTTTGAAGAAACCTGCTCTCAAGTTCACTGTATGTGTCTGGTCGAGTTGATTCTCTGAGTAATTTGGTTTTAGTTGTCTTTGTCGAATAGTGTTGATTGATCACCTTGTCGAGTTTCTTGGATGTGAACTTTGATTGAGTCTCTTGATGGATTGGTTCGGTGGCTACTATCACGACTCGAACCTGATACATGGATTTTGGCTATACAATATCTATCTATTTTTGTTATTTATTAATAAAATAACTGTTTATCCTATGCTTATTTTTACAATTCATATCAAGAAATTTTAACAATGTTAATTGAATCCAAACTAGAAGTGGGTGCTTAGGCTTAAGATTTGGTAGAGTTGTACTATGCTTACCTTAAACGTAAGCCAACCCATGAAGTTGATTTTTTTTTCTTCAAAATTGCTTGATTTTTAAGCATATTTAAGCCCACCTTAAGCATAAACTAAACATCCCTTCATAATGAAAGTTGGGTGATTGCAAGGGAGAAGCATCACAAGATTACTGTGCTAAAAGGGAAGATCATGGACACTTGAAAGTGAATTTTATAAAATTACAATTAAGTAGTTGATGTTGACTGGTATGGAGTGCAAGCTTGTTAAAGGCATGCATCAATGCATGCTATAAAAGCAATGCGCTGAGAAGTTAAACGTCTGCATCATTTGTTCTTTATGAATGAGTTGTGAAAACAACTACTTCATTTGTGCCTGCGCAGAGCACACACATTAAGAGCTCATGCAAAATGATTAGGTTCTTTTTGCCTTTAACTGGTGGTGCCTTGTTCATCAAGTATTATAAAATTGCTTGATTGTCTTAGACAGCAAACCCTCGTCCATTCTTGAAGTTTGGAACTTTGCCCTAAACCAAATCACAAGAGGTTGTAGTGATTCCCTTAACGATCATGGCCATCATGACGTCCTAAGCATGTGCAGCCGCGAACCTGCAGCTTCCAAGCTTCAGCCTTCACATTTGCAATTTTGATCTTCCTTGAACTGATATTCATGCTGTGCAATGCTTTGATCTAGACATAATATGTATGATTTTCTTAAAATATTTTGATAATGATCAAGTTTATTGAATATGTTATCGTGATTTGATTTTTTTTAAGATTTATTATTGCCCATCCAAATTTACATGAAACTTATAATTATTTGTTAATTCCTATTCACAATAGAACTTGTCAGAAATTTTACTTTGTTTTTTCACTCTCGATATTTGTCTTTAAATGAGGCTTGCACACACAACGTTTATTTTTAATTTTATATTAATTTTTAAATGTTAAGTTATCTATCAATTGTTTCATGTTTTATAATTATTGTTGAATGCATCATTATATTTATATTAGTATGAGCACCTAGATAATAAAAGCACTTCTTTGCTTTATGCTTTGTACATTAACGCACAAAGAACCCTTGAACACTGACTGATTGGATTTATTAACTAGTGAGTGCTAGATCAGAGGAATTCTTTTGATGACATCAATTGAAATTAAGGTAATTGAGAATAGACTACTAGTTTGAATATGTACAAGAAAGGTAGAAAATATACCCATTAGACAAGTAAATGAAATTAATGTTAGGAAAAAAACTTTTAGACCTAATTATGGATGAAACTAAATAACTTGTGAAGAATAGGCATAACACCTAGGGCACATTTAGAAGGAACAAGTTAGAAATGATTATTCATGATGTCAAGCCCAAATAGTTGTGATAACGCTATTGATGAAGATGCATGCATTGCTATATATAGTCTTCATGCCATTTCAGATTGATTTCATGCACATATTATACTAGACTCCTCAAAATAGTTTGGATATTGTTGGGGATGAATCTTTCTCTACTTCTCTTCAGGCTTTAAATTTATAGACGTTGCATACTATTCAGAATGTAAATTAATGTAACATCTTTCCTGATACTTTCTAGTTAATTATAGCATTTTATGAGTTCTAGGGAAACATCATTAATGTGTATCCCAGCATCTGCTATGTAAATAATTTTTAACAGGATATGATTGTGATAAATAATATTCTGCTTATTTTTGTTAAAGAAAAGTCTTGTGGATATTTTGTTTGATACAATAGCTTAAGATTTTGTCTTTTTCTGTTTTAGTTTATTGTTGGCCATTGTTTAATTTTGCAGTGGTACGCGGATTAAGCCCCGCAAACGGAACATCACAGCTCCTTTAGACCCTGCAGCTTTTGCGGATGCAGTGGTCCAGATTTATTTGGATAATGCTGGTGATTTGGTATGACCCATCTAGTATTATTTTCATTAAAGGAATTGTTGAGCTAAAGAGTTGAAAAAATTCTTCGTTCTATGCTAAAAGCAGCAGGAAGAAATTAGAAAATTAAATAAAGAATTTCATGTTTAATTGAAATTGCTGGATGCATTGACTGGAGGATCTGAAACATGAATATATATTGGAATTATTTTAAGATACAAAATATCGGAGGAATTTTTACTATAGTGTGGTCTAATTGACGTTGTAATGATTTTTCACACGATTTCACTAAACTAGAATCATCAGCAACTGCAGCTTTATAGGTACAGTGGGTCAAGATTTTAACAAATAGTTGACACCTTGTTTGGATTTGTGCTTGATACTGATATATATATTACGTGAATACTTGGTAACTATTTATTTAATAATTACATTCCATGGCTTCTACACGCTTTTACAGTACAGCTTCCTGAAATGCCTTCAGCTTTTCATATTTCCTTGACTTTATCATATTGAACTTAAGTTATGCAAGTTGATTCTTTTATATAAGGTATTACAATATGATTTGGCAAAAGACATTTGATATGCCCATTTCCTCCACTGTCATATTGAGCCGAAGTGTGCATGTCTGTTTTTTTGTGGGTATTTTTATTGTTTTTCTTATGATCGTTGCTCAGCTAACAAACTTTTTTTCACAGGAACTTGTTGCCAAAAGCATCGAATCATCAGATCTTAATTTCTCGAGATACGGTGACACCTTTTTTGAGGTATTTTGTAATGATATGGTTGTATAAAATGATGAATTAAATGCAAATAAATCTTCTATTTTTTTCGTACATGTCTGCATCTTGATTTTGTCTTTTAATGTGTTTCAATAGTCAGCTAACTTCAATGATTTTTTCTGTTATCTTAACTGTTCAGGAGTTAATGTTGTGTTTTGAACATGAATTGATTGATTGAAGGGTATTCTTTTTTGTTTAGTAAAATAGATGTTTCTCCCATATAAATATGACAGCCATTATGTATCATTAAAGCAGTTTGTTGGTTGCATGTGTAGTTACTGTTTAATAAAATGTAATTTAATAACTGAACTTCTTAAGGGGTTGTAAGACAACGGATTAGATTTGAGTTAATGGAATTTAGTAAATTTTGTAAATCTTCTTAGTAAATCCTAGAAAAAATCCCAAAAATTATTTGACAATGGATTTAGTAAATCCACTTAAATCCTGTCATTCTGTCTGACAACCTGTCAAGATTTAAAAGGTTATGTTGATTGGAATAAAAAAATCATAATCAAACTTTGATTATTTTATTAATATGATTAAAACTAATAAATTCAATTTCAATATTATTTCTAATTCTACTAATTAATAATTAATTATTCACTAAATTAATTAATTATTTATAAGAATTTTACTAAATTCTATATTTGTTAAGCAATAATTTACATTAATCAATTATTAATTAATAATTTATTAGAATTTTTTAAAATGATTTAAATTTTAAAATATAATTTAATTATTAAATAAGTTTATGTAAATTTATCTGATTATAATTAAATTAATAATATATGAATGAATTATTAATAATTAATCAATTAAATTATTAAATTGATTGGAATAAAAAAATCATAATCAAACTTTGAATAAAAAAATCTGATTGGAATGAAAAAATCATAATCAAACTTTGATTATTTTATTAATATGATTAAAACTAATAAATTCAATTTCAATATTATTTCTAATTCTACTAATTAATAATTAATCATTCACTAAATTAATTAATTATTTATAAGAATTTTACTAAATTATATATTTGTTAAGCAATAATTTACATTAATCAATTATTAATTAATAGTTTATTAGAATTTTTAAAATAATTTAATGTTTAAAATATAATTTAATTATTAAATAAGTTTATGTAAATTTATCTGATTATAATTAAATTAATAATATATGAATGAATTATTAATAATTAATCAATTAAATTATTAAATTGATTGGAATAAAAAAATCATAATCAAACTTTGATTATTTTATTAATATGATTAAAACTAATAAATTCAATTTCAATATTATTTCTAATTCTACTAATTAATAATTAATCATTCACTAAATTAATTAATTATTTATAAGAATTTTACTAAATTATATATTTGTTAAGCAATAATTTACATTAATCAATTATTAATTAATAGTTTATTAGAATTTTTAAAATAATTTAATGTTTAAAATATAATTTAATTATTAAATAAGTTTATGTAAATTTATCTGATTGTAATTAAATTAATAATATATGAATGAATTATTAATAATTAATCAATTAAATTAATAAATTTAACCTAAATTAAAATAACATATAACCGCAAATCTATCTCCTCTTTCACTCGTTGCTTGAAACTCTCGCCTACATCAATCCCCTTCTTTATCCAAAACCCTCGCTTGTCCCTCCCCCTCTCAATTTCGCCTAAAACCACACCGCTTTTGTGATTGAACTCCCATGATACAATCGCAGTTAACCGAGTTAACTGGGAAGGCAACGATGGGATCACAACATACATAGACGCGAACTCTCATCTTTCTCCTCCTTACGCTTTGCTCCTAGCCGAAACCATGAAAAAAATTAACTTCACATCCTCCTTTTCGTGCAAAGCAGTAGTCGCAAATTTACTAAATCCGCCGATTCGCAGGATTTAGTACATCTTGGATTTATGTACAAAATATATGAAATCCAAATGTATCAAATCCACGGCTTTATTTTGTCCAAACTGATCGTATGGCAAGATTTAAGTTAAATCCAGATTAAAGCGTGCTCTAAATATATTACCTGACATGCCCTAAAGGTTTAATGGATTTGTTATTGTTGTCCTAAGTAATATGACTTTTGGATATTGAATTGAGGTCCTTTTCTGAACGTTTATTCTTATTCATCATTCTTCTTTGAGGTCTTTTTTTAACTTAATTAAATACAAAGAGTTGTTGCTTCTCTCTGATGGATGAATCAATATCGAAGCAAAATTCCACCGTGCTAATTTCATTGTGTACTATTAGATCAATCATGAGGAGTTTTCTCAACCATAAATCTTTTATTTAGCAACATCACATCATTTGTTTCTCATAAATTTAAATTATTTTGTTTGCTTCATTTATTTATTGCCTTGTTGCTCTCATTGGCTATTAGTAATTATTGTTGATTTGAGTGCCAAAATTAGTATCTTAAGGCTCATGGTTTCCAACTTCTAGAAAACACATTCCACACATTGTTGGAGCTTATTTCGAACAAAGAATGATTATCCCTATCAACAGGCCACACTATGTTGCGAGAGAGTTTTAGAGATTCACTAAAACAATACTGCGTTCAGAAATCTTATAAAATCTAGATGAGATATTCTAGATTGACTTAAGGCCATAAAGAATTATGCGGGAAAGGAATCCTTGATTTGGGAGACTCTTTAAGTCTTAAATCATCCCAAATAGGATTGAATTCGACAACCAAATATTTCTACGGTCAGGCGTGTCATTTTTAGGCTGATAAACTCAAAATAAGATTAACTGACAAGGGGACCATATCTAAAATGATTAATTTTGTCATGGCTCTATGCCATCTTTCAAGGAGGCTGAATTTTGATTATATAATCAAAGCATCATTGAAGCTTGATGAGCTAAAATCCAATTCCACATTTCTAGCCATGAATGAAAAATTCTGCCACCTATTGAAGGAGAAATTTTAAATTCAACTCATGAATTATGTTTAGAGTTATAATAGCTTATTTAATAGGTTTTCAAATAATGTGAATAACTATCAAAATAAGAGGAATTTCTTATCGGATAGTTTGCCATGATTTTAGTACTTGCTTATCTTGCTTTTCCTATAACTAATGCATGACAATATCTTAGTTTTTCAATTCAAATATAAATCTCAGTTGAATCATTTGTTAATATTTGCTCTCTTTTCTGAACCTTGTACCTAGTGGTCAAGAACACGCGCACAAAAAAATCACATCTAAATGCAAAATAAAATTTCATTCCTCTTTTCTATTTTTAACCATGTTCACAAGGATGAAAGAACACACCAAGTATTGTATTGAAATCCTAACTTACTTTAATTCCATCCCTTTCTTTCCCTTAAATCTCATTTTGCATAAATTTTATCTATATTGTTCCAATCTTGTGTACTTCTTGATTGCTCCCATGATGAAGCCCAAGTTCTTGAAAATATTTAAAAATCCTTATTCTTTATGCACGAAATCTTTTGCATGAGCAAAACTCATAAAACCTTAAAAAGTCCATGCTATGGTTTCTTGCTTTTTTTCATAGAATTAATTTTGTATTATAATACATTTTTATTATGGTATGGAGTTTGTTCCACTTTAGGTTTTTATCAGAGCATTAGCTTTGCTCGTTGACTCCTCGGGTAGTCCATATCTAGAATTATTCCAACTTTCCTTCTCTTTTTATGTAGGAATGTATTACGCTATGACAATAATGTAGAAGATATTTTTAACGTATTTGACTGAATTACGTTGTACATCTTCTAGAAAAGGCACTACCTCCATATATTTAAGTCCATAGGTGATGCTAGAGTCCAAGAAGATGTGGGGTGAGAAGCTAAGCTTAATGTGAGTATCCAAAAGATTGATAAGATGCACTGAACCAATGAATACCCATAAAGACTATTCATTTACCTGGAAGCCTAATGGTTACAAAGAAGATGGAACCATCAAAAGTTGAAGAGAGATTTAAAAGTTGTACTAGTTATAGTTGATGCCTTTAAAGAGTAAGAAGGTGAAATAATTACTAGTATTTTATTAAGTTGTAAAATTTATTTTCTTAAAAAAAATTGAAGCTCCAAAAGGATCGAGCTATAATTGCTTATGTGGAACCAATGAGCGCATATTATGGATATTGCTTTGTTGCAATAGGCTGTTCACACTAAATAGAGACCCACAACAAATTTTCAAAAAATGGCTTATTCCACCTAAGCTTCAAATAGTGTTGCATAGAATTATTATGCAATTATCATGGATCAATATTAGGTTTGGGATATATACCCTTGGGCCAACTTCTATACCATTTGTGATGACTATTGTTAATGGGCCGTTGTCTAAAAAATTGGGGTGACTATCATAATATTTTGGACACATTAGCTAGTTTTTCTATGGTGCGGGTTAGTTACACTACCAAAATAGTTTACTAATTGCTCTTTGTGTTGATTAAATCTTTGGAGAGTCAATGACAACTATTATTTATGTGATCCGTAAATGAACTTGAAGGCGTGGTTGTGATTTGGGAGATGTTATAAACGCTTATTCATTTTAATTGTGACTGAATTGAGCAAGCTAATAATTTCAGGATTTATTCGTATTTGTCATGACAAATAGACTCAAGACAAGCATAAAAAACCTATTTTTCATTTTGAGGTTTAACTAATGATAAATCGGCACTGATAATCAATTTAAACATTGTTTTCACGCCATGTTTTCTGGGTGATCAGATTTTGAAGATATATATTCATGCATGAATGATGATTGAGTGTGCCAAAACCTAAATCTACAATTAAAGCTATGCACAAATAATTTGACCACCATTAAAGGAGATGGGCTTTGAGTTCTTAATTTATGAATAACTATAGTTTGTTTGTTATGTTTTCTAATAATACAAATAATCTATGAAGATAAGGGGAATGTCTTATCGAATAATTTATCATGATGCTAGTGCTTTCTTATACCTTGTTCTATGGTAGCTATTTATTAAATTATTTTACTTAA